ACTGCCATATCATATTCACAGTAATAGTTGGCACCATCAACACTCAAGAAATTGGTTTCACAGTTCTTGCACTTTGGCGTTACGGCCATTTTACCTGATGGTGGTGCTGCAGAAGAGACATCAACACATTGGAAATTGGTGCATCCCGCCTTGAGAACATTCAACTCACCAAACACAGAGGCTGTGTAATTTTTGGTGACATACACATTCAAATTGCTGTTCAATTCAGTACCTGTTGGTATTGTTGGTGCTGCAGTTCCATGGAAGAACAAGTTCTTTACACTTGTCAGGGTATCTGATAATGAAGTGAGTGGCGCATATAAATTGAGATTCTCAAGTTTATTACATTCTTTGAACGCGTCCTTTCCAACTGTAGCAACTTTTTGTGTTCTGGAAACATTATTCAACATAGTGCATCCCAAAAATGTGCCTTCAGGAATCATTGTATTTTCAGACAAATCTGCATGTGTCAATGTTATTATTCCGTCAAAAACATTTGTTCCAAATGTGGTCACTGTTGGAATCTCAATATCTGTAACAACTGTAACTCCCTTGAAAGCCATATTTCCAAATTTGGTAACCGCCTTACCAAAAGTGATTGTTGGCATTGCTGTTTTTGCGAACGAGCTTTCACCAAAAGAAGTAACTGCTTCAAACCCAGTGACAGTAGCCAACTTTGTGCATTCATTGAATGTGAAATCTGGGATTGTTGTTGTGCCTGTGATTGTAGCTGATGTCAAAGTAGCTATTCCCTCGAAGACATGCATTCCCAAAGAGGTGACACTAGTTGGTATAGTTATAGTTGTCAATTTGGTCTTTCTAAAGGCTGCATCACCTATTTTAGTGACTCCAGTAGCAAAAGTGAGGGTGGTGATAGCGGTATTATCAAACGAGCTTTCACCAAATGAAGTGACAGCTTCTATTCCGGTGACTGTAGCCAATAAAGTGCATCCATTGAATGTAAAATCGGGAATTGATGTTATCCCAGTTATTGTAGCAGAAGTCAATGTGGTTATTCCTTCGAATATGTGTTTTCCTAATGCAGTGACACCAGTTGGAATTGTAACAGTCACTAATTTAGTGTTATTGAAAGCCGCATCACCAATTTTGGTGACCCCAGTTGTTGCAAAAGTTATTTCGGCAATTGCAGTGTTATCAAATGAAGACTCACCAAATGAAGTGACTGCGTTGATGCCAGTGACTGTTGCCAGTATTGTGCAACCTTTGAATGTGAAATCTGGAATGGTTGTGATCCCTGTTATTGTCGCAGTTGTAGCTGTTGTGATATCTTCGAATACATGCATTCCAAAAGTTGTGACAGCTGTAGTCGGAAGTGTTATTGCTGTCAGTTTGGTTCCCATGAAAGCATTGTCTCCAAATTTGGCAACGGTTGCTGCAAATGTGATTGTAGTGAGACTACTCATTTTAAATGAGCTTTCTTCGTAAGTTGTGACATCACTATTATCAGTAATAGTAGTTAATTTGGTGCAACCTTCAAAACACTTTGTTGGAATTGTAGTGAGGTCTGTTAATGCTATTGTCGTCAGCTCGACACATCCACTGAACGCTTCTTCACCAAGAGACTGAATTTTGTTTGTAATTGTGACTGTTGCTAATTTGATTGCACCTTTGAATGCTCTTGCACCAATTTTTACTTTCTGCGCTGGTTTATATTCGAAACTTGTTATGTCTTCATTACCCATAAAAGCCTCGTCACATAGTGGTTTATTATCAGTATCTTTGATAATAAGTGCTCCTTTGCATTTATTATCACCTTCCTTGTCTTTAATACATGATTTGGCGGTGTCGAGCTGATAACAATCGGTAGAATCGACTGCATTTGTGCAGAAGAGTAAACAGGCAGTTAATAGAAGAAATTGCATTTGAATGAATAAGTACATTTCAAAATTCTTTTTATACCTTTTCAAACCCCGATTTCGAACTATACGTTCGATTAATGTATTTTTAATGTTTTTTCATAAATTAAATTTATTATTATTTATTTAAACAAATAATTTTGGTTTGGTTCTGTGTTTGTTGTTTCACTTTTGAGTAATAACAAAAAACGCATTTCCATTCAAAATATTTTGTAAAAGTAATATTTCATAATTTTTATATTTTTTTGAAACGTGAATATGAACTGTTTTAAATTGTAAACAATTCAATTTAAAATTTTATTGAAAAAAATAACCTTTTTTAAATTCAGTTTTAATATAAAACAACAAATTATATCAAATTATTCCATAAATAATAACGATATAACAATTTAAATCCACTCAAAACATTATTAAAAATAAAATGACTGACCAAAATTAAATACACAACATTTTATTTTTGACCATTTTTCAAAAAACTTTATCAAAAAAACAAAACATTATATTATTATATTTATTAAATATATTTAATCAAAAAAATAATAGTAAACTGAAAATTAATATTATATTTTAAATAAATAATAACCATTTAAAAATTTTGTTATAAATATTTTTCATATTAATAGTGAGCATCACTTTGTAACGAAATGAAACAAATTCAAAATTTAAAAGTTTTTAAAACGATATAAAAATAATAAGTCTTTTAGAAATTGTATTTGTGTGAATAACTGAATATACTGAATCATTCCAAAATAAGAAAACAATCTATTTTATTATTACAAATGAATTTTTGTTTCAATGAAAAAAAGATGTTTTTATTATTTGTAGTGTTTAAATATACAGTTGAGTGTAAGAAAATTAATACAATATATTTTTAATAATATTTAATTTTAATATAATTTAATTAAAAAACAATTCGATTCAATAAAATAAAAATATCTTCGATTAATAACATTTAATATTATTTTTAAATGTTATATTATCACGTTTTTTATTGTTTGCTTGACAAAATTATTAAATTTTAAATCCCCACTTTAATAATGTTAAGTTACTGAATAATATGGTTAATAGCATTGATAATTTGATCAATCTCAACTCTGTTATGTGGGTCTGTACACCACATCTTTTCTATTATATCAAATTCTTCATTCCCAATATTCTGATTCTTTTCCAGATGTTTTCCGCTTGTAACAAAGTCTGCGATGCTCCAGGCATATTGAAATTTATTTTTAGGATATGCATCTCCCCAATTAAATGTTTCATACATCGTAATAGCGAATGAGTATATGTCTGACGGCATTTTGTACTTCTCTCGATTTAGCACTTCAGGTGCCATGTACTTTGGTGTCCCAATACCTTTCGTGAATGTCATATTAGTCATCATCATATTAATGTTTCTTGCACTTCCAAAATCAGTCAACTTCGAGTTAATTTCGTCATTCATTTCAAGTGAAAACACAAGTAAATTGTCTGGTTTAATATCTCGATGTACAATACCATTGTTATGTAAATAAGATATTCCCTTTGCCATATCCAACATGAATTTTCTTAATATTGTGATATCGGGTTTGTTGTTATTTATATCAGTATTCAATTCCCTTTTTGACGTACTTTTTGAGCCGTTCTGAGATATTTTCATTAGATCATGTAAACTCCCATATTTCGCAAATTCGGTGACCAAACAGATTTTCTTTGGTATAAAGACGGCGCCATAAAAGTGGACGATGTACTCACTTCTGAATTTGTCCAACATAGAAACTTCCTTTTCAAATTCTTCCATCGACTTATTATCTTCTGTGACACTTTTAAGTCGTTTAATGGCAACATCTTGTCCTCTAAAAGTCCCTTTGTAAACAATCCCAAAACTTCCTTCGCCAAGTTTGACATTTTCTAACAACTCGGAATTGTTCAATTTAGTCGTTAAAATGGTTTTTGCTTTAATTTTGATTTTATTTGTCGTTTGTTCGCCTTTTTTGATATCAAGTGAGATACACAGAATTTCATCTTCGATTTGACATGTGCAATTTGGCTTCAAAAAGACTTCGAATTCGCACGCCTCGTTATTCTTTAGTGTTACAAGGGATGGTACTGTTCGAATAGAATACAACTCGCAACCTTCAATAACACTAAATTGTATTTTTTGCTTGTTTTTAGAAATGTTACCAATACACAGCAATGCACGCGTCTCGCTGTCTACTGGAATATCAGTATTTGCAATTCCACAATTTGTGTCACTCTCAAATTCAATTTCATTCAAATTCGAAACTAATTTAGACGACATTTCATTGAACGAAATGTTTGACTTATTCATGTTAAATATACAGACTGTTTTCATCTCTTCTTTCTTCTTTTTGTGTTGGAGAATAAGATAGATGACAACAGTAGCTATTACTATAATTATAATAATTAAAACTATTATAATAACTATAACAGGTAGACCGATTTTCAAGAAGTATTTGTTGTCTTCCAAACATGAAAGTCCGTCATTAGATATTTTGTGTTTGATATCACATTTCACACAAAAGTTGTTTGTTGCAGAAACACAATAAATGACTGTATCGAGTGGCTGACACACACCATTTTTGAGGATAAAATCATTATCACAAGTTGTACAAAAATCATCAGAAAAACATTTCAAACAGTTGTTTGAACATTTGTAACATCGTAATATTGCAGTTCCCAAATAAAATCCGTCTTCACACCCAACACACCCAATTTGAGTCTTTACAGTACAGTTATATAAAGTGCTGTACTTCTGGCATAGATACGACTCACTGACAATTTGGTAGTAATCAGGTTTGCAAGATAAACACTTTGTGGTATCAATACAAGTCTCACACGATCCGTCACAATCAAGGCAATCGTTGTTATATTTGAAATAATTATTTTTACATATTGCACAACCAGTGTTTGTCGGCATCATCTGTTGGCATCGCTTCGACAATTCAGTTGTTTGCTCGCACTTGTTATTTGCATTGAGAAATGATGTTGTTAAATTACAAGTGAGGCAGTGTGTCGAGCTTTTACATGTCAAGCATTCAGACTCTGAATTTTGACATGAAAGACACAAGTTGGTTTCAGTCAAGTAATACCCATCAGAACACCTCAAACAGCCTTTTGTTGATGTTGTTTTACACACGTTTTGAGTATATTCTTTTAACACTGATTTTTCATTTTGAGTGGAGCACGTGTTATCATACAAAGTGTAGTTATTTGAACATTCTCTGATTGTCATTTGATTGTCTTGTGACTTTGTGATGTATTTGGAGTTATTTGTTGTTGGAGAACAATAAACGGTTTCTTCTCTATAAAATGAAGGAAGGCATTTTGTACACGACACTTGATTTGCTTTTTCGCAATTGAAAGAAGTCGTTTCTTTGCAACTTCCATTGGAAAGCAGATTTCCTTTTGTGCATTCAACACAATTCACATTGTTATATTTTATACAATTTGGTATTTCACTCAATACACAATAATTGTGTTGTGTTATATAATGAGATGTATTTGTGCATTGTACACAATCACCAGAGGAGTACTTCACACATTTATCTTCAACGAAACAGGTATTTTCGTTGTAATTCAAAGCACTGTTTTCTATACACTGAATCACTTTGTTTGTAAATTCGCCATTTTCGTTGAGCAATATGCATTTCTCAAATAAATCATTTGCACTTGTTGAACACAAATTGCACTTCATATTCTGGTCAAGAAACTGATCTGCTTCACAACGATAATACACATTATTTTTTAAGTACAAATCATCTTTCATATAAAAAGTAACGCAACTGCCATCACTTATATATAAGTTGTTGTCATCACAATTCAAACACTTTTTGACACTTTTTAAATTGTTATTGTAATAATACTTACAGTTGTTTATTTCATTAGTACAATTTCGTTTTACAGAAATACCACCTTCACAGTCTTCACACACAATTTTACCCTTTGAAATACACTTTGAATCAAGTGATTTTGATACACAAATTGAGTTTTGAAGGTAATAATTTTCATCACATATGACACATGTTGTGGTGTTTACTCGTGCAAGACAATTACCAACTTCATTAATACATTGATTATTATCATAATATGTACCTTTTAAACATCGAGAACACAATGAAGTGTTAGTGTTTAGAGCAAAAGGTGGGTAACACACATCACAGACTTCTTTAAAATCTGTTTCATCATGCGAGTGACACATTTTGCAATTACCATATTCAGTATTATCGTAACAAGGTGTACACGTATTTTCTGAACTTAAGTAGTAACCCATCTTGCATACACAAACACCGTCTTTTATTTCAAAAGGTGGTGAGCATGTTGTGCATTCTTTGTGTTTTGGGCTGCACCTCAAACAATTTGAAATATCAGAACATGGGTGGCACGTCTTATTGAACGCAAAGTAGTTTTCTTTGCATGAAGTACATCCATTAACTGTGTCACAACTGTTACTATTACAATTACTATCACACGTTTTACATTGTTTGTTATCCGAATAAAACCCAATTTTACACGACAGGCAATTGGTGCTCAAACCACCATCACACATTTGGCATGATTCATCACATTTAATACAATCGTATCCATTGATATAATAATTGACGTTTGTACATTTGGTGCACCCGTGTTGATGGCAATTTCCATTGCCACAATTGTTGCATTTTAAACATTTGTTGTCTTTCAAGTAAAAAGTCCCATCTTCACACGAAGTGCAATTTGAAGAACTACCTTCACACGTTCGACAATTATTAGAACAATCTTTACAAAAATAATTATCATAATAATACCCGATAGATACACAACTATTACAATATCCATTTAATACAGAATTGTTGCATGTTGTACACACATCGTAACATTGGTGGCATGTAGTTCCATACAATGAATATCCATTTATACACGAATAACAATTCGATCTTGATGAACATATTTGACACCCTTCTAAACATGCAAAACACGAATTACCACTTCGATAATACCCATCAAAACAAGTTGTACATTGTAAAGCCGGAAACCCACTTATACACGTCTCGCACCCATTAGGACATTTATTACATTTATTTGTCGTTAAATAATACCCACTTAAACAGGTAACACAATCCTCTCCATTTTCTCTGCAAGTAGCACACCCTTCACTGCATTGAACACATGAAAACCCACTTAAAAAGTATCCAGGTGTCACACACGAAAAACAACTTCCATTGTTTGTGTTGTTACAGGTACTACATCCCGTGTAACACCGAACACATTTCCCTTCGCTTAAAAAATACCCATCCTCACAACTTTGACAACTTCCTTCTTCATAATTGGTACAATCTAAACACCCCTCTATACACTTCAAACAACTGGCATATGTCAAGTAATAACCTTTGGCACAAGTATTACAAAATCCGTTTGATGGACCTGTGCATGTCAGGCACCCAGTGTAACACGCATAACAATATCCACCAGTTTTATAATACCCTTTCATACATGATGTACAATATCCGTTTTTGCCAGAAGTGCAACTTAAACATCCAATGTAACATTTATAACATGTGGAACCCTCTAAATAATAACCAGAAATACAAGTATTACATGGTCCAATTGTGTCATTATTACACGAGGCACACCCAGAAATACACTTTTTGCAGTGATAATCCGATAAATAATATCCATTTAAACAAGTTTGGCAATACCCATTTTGGTTAAATGTACAATACGCACAACCGACACCACATGCATTACACGACGAATAAGCTAATATAAAACCAGTTGTCACACATGATGTACATTGCCCGTATCCACTTCCTGTACAAGTCGCACAACCAAAATAACACTGCGAGCAAGAATATGTATCACTCTTATAGAACCCATCTATACACTGATTACAATAAGAAACACCATTTGTTGATGTGCAAGAAGCACAATTTGGGTAATTCCCACAGTAAAACCCTTTTGAAACATTTTTAGTCTGGTTTCTTTTTAAAAACAAATCATGTTTTTCAAAATATTCTAATTTTTTTGTTGTTTTTGAAAAATTTCGGTTAAATGTTTTATGAGACGAATTATTCGGAGAAAATGTGGCAAAAAGATCACACCCATTTGTTGTTTTTTCGTTCTTGATATGTTGTTGTAGTTTTAAAATGTCACCAATTAAACTCCATTGATAATTTAAAGGACACTCCATTGTAGGTGAGACACATACAATTTTGTTCTGAAATTTACACAATTTCACTTCAATAGAATATGCAATGATTAATAATAATGTGATTTGAATCGTTTTTGTTGAATTGGTGTTTTTGAGTTTAAAGCATGCCTCAGAAAAATTTGTTTTTTTGCACTAAAATATTTTTTGGCAAATTAAAATAAAACTCACCTCATCCTTAGAATATTAAAATAGTTTGATAGTAAATACGATTAGTTTTGAAACTATTAACAACTGGTTAATTGTTATAGTATATACATGATATAATAAATTATACAAATTTATTATAACAATATAATAAAATTAACGATATCTTAACTAATGTTTAATTTATGACAATGAATTTATGTATCATATTATGTAATAAATAATATATTATGAAATAATACATTTTGTCAAAAACAATTAAATAACATTTTCTAAAAACAAATATATACATTTATAAAAACTATATAAGATATTAATAACAACGAAATATTAATAGTAAAATAAAGTCACAAATAAACCTAAAAAAAATTAAACTATTAATAAATCATTATTAATCCATAAATTAATAATTTAAATTCATTCTGAACATAAATTTTTAAATAAAATTAACAAAAAAACTAAAAGTATAATAAATTTAATCATTTTGATATAATTAAATAATATACAAATTCAAATAAAATAATGTTAAATAAATTAGAAATAGTATAATAAAATGGTAATTGAACTAATCATTTAATTATTATAGTTACCATTATTACAATTAAATTTTATTTATTCTTTAGTTTATGTGAACATTTTTGACATGTATTATACTATTTATTTAATCTGTAATTATATTCATTTTATAACAAATTATAATATTTTTTATTAACAATTTTAATTATTAATTATTGACATGAAGAAAAACTTTTTAAACCAAACACACCTTAAGAACACTTCAATTATTTTATTACTGTGTTTTCATTGTGTTATTAAATGAATTACTATTTAAAAATAACATTATGGGATTTTATTTTTTTTTATTATTAAAATTAATAATAACTTAACTATAAGTTTGTAACAATAATTGTTATAATTGATTATTTTATATTTTTATAGTTTAATTAAATAATAATTTATTATAAAATTACTGTTGTTTTATTTAATAAAATATCTATAATAACTTATTAAATTATTATTTTGTTATCAATTTAATAATTAAAATTTCATCAAACATGCAACAAAAATTTGTTATTAATAATTCGTTATTAACACAATAACGTAGCTGTATTATTTGTATGTGGTATTTTAGAGTATATATTTGCTTTATAATTGTATTAAAAACTGTTAATGTAATTTCTTGAAACATACACTTGTAATTGATATGTGATTTTTTACAACTTATAATCTTAATGACTATTGTGGATGCAAACAATGACATTGATCCTCTTTTACAAGTAATATTATGAAATATTTGTCAAAAATATATTAAAAACATTGTATTAAATATATCGTTACAAAAAGGCATAATCTGTAAATAAACACTAACTGAATTACCAATAACATGAAACCAAATAAGAAAAGATGAGACAGTTCAGAAATGTAAATTCTCGGTATCATTTAAGCCCGATTAAATAGTTGGATGTAAGATAATTGAATTCCAGGTGTTGTTGTAATATATAAAATTAAATAACAAAATAAAAGTAATTTCTTGACTGTTGGTTGCATTTTTTCTTTTTTTAAAAACATTCGAGTTGTTACAAGTTTTATAAAATTTCATACATTTAAAAGTTATTGTAGTTGATAAACAAAAAAATGATTTATTAATAAATTAAACAGGCACATCAGATATTAATTTCAAAACAATCACATCATTTGTATTTTTTTATTGTTTTTTAAAATCCAATAATTAATATTTAATCAATAATGGTTTATAACCTATTAGTAGTCGAGGTATTCGGTTTACATAATATACTTAATAATACAGATATACACATTTTCAATAATAAAAATTTGTTGTAAAAATAAATCATATTAATTATATTCGAATCTAACAGTTTATGTTTGATGCCAAACTTTTAACAACAAAAAAGTTTGCAAGTTTTATATTTATATAATTTTAAAATAGTCTGTTTTACGTTAATACACATACGATTAACAATATATACAATTATAATCAAATTGAAATTAAATATTTCAATTGATCATTTCTGTTAAATTTTGATATCATTAAAATTTATTTTGAATAATTATACATTTATTAACTTTTAGTAAAAAGGTGTTTCCAATTATTCACATAACAAAGTTATCAACACAATTAAAAGTTTAAATATATTAATAATAGATATACATATTTGTTAATACAAATTGAATTGTAAAATTGAATTTTTGGTTGAATAATGACTGTTAATGACATTGTTATTTTCAATTATTAATTGTAATTATATGTGTTTGCATTGACGATTTGTTAATACAAAGAAAAATCAAACATAAACAATTGTTAATAATTTCATTGTGCAATCACTTCATATCCTCAATTTTCATATTAACAGTTTTTTGTTGAAAATGATGTGCAAGCGAGATATTAATCCAAATATTTCTTAACTATCGTTTAATTATTATTTATATTACAACACAAAAAAGTAAACATGTATATTTTGATAATACTACAACTATTATAATTAATTAAAATAAAAGTATTTATTAATTAGTAATTTTCATTGATTTGATAACAACAGTTGGTGTATTGGGTTTTACCGTTTATTGCTACACTGGTGATTTAAAAACAGCCTAAAATATTAAAAGTGGTAACTTTACGATGTGTAAAAATGTAACATAAAACTAAAAGTTTAAAAGATAACACTAAAATTAAAAAAGTTTCACAGTTTACACAAATTTTAGGATTTTACTTGCGACTCACTTAAACGTGTACATAAGACATTAAAATCATTTTTAGTAGTCTAAGAATTAACATGAATTAAAAACTATAGTTATGTTTTTTGTTAACATATTTCAATATTGTTGTTGATATATTGTCAACGAAATGTTTTTAAACAACAAATATGTATTGAAGTTGAATCAGTAATGAATTTACCCACTTTTGTTTAAATGTCAAAAAGTTTTTTTTTACAAAAAAATCAAGTTCAAATACATAAAAGTCACAATTTCGTGTTTATTGATTTCAACTTATATATATGTAAAATATAAGCTGTTTTAAATGATATATTAATACACAATTTGTTGTACCTTATTTAAATATTACTGTCCATATAATGAAAATTAAATTTATTGTTGTGTTTTTGATGTTTAAACAAAGTAAAGCGTAAACTTCTATTGGTTTATGATTTGAAACAAATGGACTGTTACAATGTTTTATATTTTAAATTTGGTGTTTTTGTTGTTCATTAAAATACAAAAGAAGTTATAATCATGTTTTTTATTGATGTCATTATTAACTAACTGTTTGTTAAAATGTATTTTTCCAGATAAATCAACTGCTTTTATCGTCATTGTTTGGCACGTCGAATGACCAATGCTACTCATTTTACAATACATTTATTTTAACAATATAATTCAGAATTAAATATACAATAGTAAAACAATTATGTTGTACATTAATAAGTATCAACAAAATTATAAACAGGTTGAAAGATATATTGAAAAATTTAAAATAATAGTTTTTTTTTCTAACACAAATGATTTATCATTATAAAAAATGTTGTTAATTGTGATGCAATTTTTATTCCATGTTGAAAAATGACCATAGTCTTATATGTTGATCATGCACATGACATCATTTTATTCATTTTTATGTTTATAATTTATAATAAATTAAATATTTATAACAAGTTATTCTTTGAAATATAATTTCAATGAAACGGTATTGTTTAATTATCAAATAATGTTTGTTTAATTGTGGTTTTAAATATTTTACTCCGTCGATTCTGTAACAAAAGAAATATTTAATTAATAATTACAAATATATGTTTGTAATTACAAACAGATATTGTACAATGTAATTTATTTGAAATACACATTTTTTATTGAATTATCGTTAATTATTTACATTTTAGTTTGTTAATTTAACATGTAAAAACGTTAATAATAGTAAGATGTTAATTTTGATTGCGTTAAATTATTTGTAAATTTTCGCTGTGTTAATTTGACAAGAAAAATCGATAAATATTTTTAAATTGTTAATTATTTTTTTCGTTAATTAATTTTATTTTTTCGGTGTGTTAATTATACAAGAAAATATGTTAATAAAATTCATATGTTAAATTTATCTTTTCGTTAATTTATATTATGTTTTTTTATTGTGCTTAATAAAACATAAAAAATCGATAAATATTTATAAATTGTTAATTTATCAAAAACAATTTGATAAAAATTATTGAATCTTCTGGAATCACAATTCAATATAACCTAATGTCCCGTTTATTTGCGTATTTTTAAAAATAGTTTTACCAAAGACGATTTTTTTGCCGCAAAAAACAGTTTCTTCAGTCTTTTTTCTTGAAAAGCAAATTTTTCCGAGGCATGGTTTAAAGTTTTATATAAGTAAAATGTGGTATTTCAAAACAAGTTTTTAAATTTATTTTAACTTTAAAAAAAACAACTCAAATATCATTAAAATTTAGGTAATTTTTTAATATTAATTTAACAATCATAAATATTAAAAAAACAATCCACTTTATTGTTCATAACGAATAATAACATTTCCAGATATTTAAGGAAATAAAAAGTTCGCCGAACTTTGCACAAAAATCGAATTTTATTTTTAAATATATCTAAACCACAAAACAAATATAAAAAAATATAAAAAATTAAAAAACACATAATTTGATAGTTATTTAGCTATTAAAATTACCTATACAAATTATATTTTTAAAATTACAAGGATTCACCCCCTTAAAACAGCAAAATAATAATAGATACCTAATTAAAATGAGAAAATCAACAACAAAAGTGACCTAAACAAAAAATTATACTTAAGCTATATATATTACTCATAATAAATATATGAGTAATTCTGAATAATTACTCGTATATATTTCTTAATTACTTATATTTATATATGTATGGTTTTAAATACTCTATTTATTAACCGTAGAACTTTTATTTAATATCACTTATTTTCTATCCCCTCCCGTTGTGACCAACTGTAAAATACCATTTATTGTTTTTTAAACAAAAAACAAAATAATCAAAACTAAACTTATTTTTTTATATTTCGTACATGTTGCGTGGAAATAATATAACAGCACCAAAACTCAAATCCTTCATTAGAGCGAGAACGTTTTTGAATTTGGTCTTTTTTCATTATAACAACTTGTCCAAACAATCATCTTCATTTTTGGACACATTAAAAATATGATTTAATATTTTTTCTGAGTGTTCAAAGGAGTGTCCTTTGTTGAAATCCTTGATTAAACTAATCAATTTGATTAAGTTAGTTGTTTTGATTAAATT